TTGACAGAACGTATTTTTCATTTTTTTTTCTTTGGTTGAAAACAAAAACAAAACATTCTGGAAATTTAAAATTTCAAATGGAAACTAAAAATACGTGGATTACTTTAATAAAGTTTCAATTTTGTTTTGCGGTTTGTATTATTTGCTTAAAGATATGGATTCGACGTATTTGGGTAATACGGCCGTACACAACATTTTGCCAAAGTGGGGAAGTTGAATATTTTTGTACGCCCCGTCGGATTTTAGGTAACGTTGTTAGTTCACAATTAGAGTAGCCCCATATAACGGTACCTCCCAATATGAGAAATTTTTACGATTTTTTCAACAGAATTGGTTGTAGTTAAGCAGAAAGTGTCCGTACCAAAAATGATCAGTATTGGTCATGTTTCGGGGTACCGCCCATATAATGGTAGCCCTTAATATTCCGTATTTTGAAGATCTTGGGCACGGTTTTCAACAGAATTTATTTTAATTTAATATAGGGTATACTTATATTATACTTAAAACTATCAATATTGGTCCAAGTATCCGGGTAACCCGATAATATTCGGTATTTAGCTGCAATTTTATATTTTGGATGATCATTGAGTAGAAAATGTTCCTAACAAAATTTGCCAAAGCTTACGAAAAGCCTTCATATAATGGCACTCTACATTATACGATCCTTTGGGGATTTAGGCACGTTTTTCAACCTAATCAGCTGTAATTGGTTGTTTTATTTGGTAGCATGAATCCTACTAAAAATTGTCAATATTGGTCCATTCTTCTGTATTTTGGGGGGTTTGGTCACGTGTTTCAACCAAATTGGCTGTAATTTTTATATGATCAGTGAGTACAAAATCACCTTGCAATGAATTATCAATATTGGCCCAAGTTTCCGGGTAGCACCCATATAATGTATCCCCCATAATTTCTCATGTTGTGTCAAATCTTCCTTCAAATTAGATATTATGTCTTGCCTATTGTTTCTAATATTGCTGGTTTTTTGATAGATTTTAGCATAGATCATAGAATCCGAATACCCGGAATGGGCACGAACTCGATTCAGAATGTCTTCTTATTTTCCATCCTTGCATTAGTCCCAAAATGTACGTGCATTCTATGGAAACGTGTACATACAATGATAGCGTGTACATTCAATGATATACTGCTCAATTATGTTTTGTATTGTCCCAAAACAAATGTTTCAATACAATGTCAATCCAATTGAAATTTATTATTATTATTATTTTTTTTTTTTTTTTTGAAAATTTTCAATAATTGAAAAATTTAGGTTTAAAGGAATAATAATACGCTACAAATTTTCGCCAAAATATCTCAAAATAACAACTACGACGTGGTGCAATCAAAATAGCTCGATAATAAATTCGAGGAAATGCAAGCATGTTTCAAAATATTTTTTGCAAATTTTTCGCGTTTTTCACCTTTTAAACCTTCCCTGGAGCTCCACGAACATTTCAAGACTAATATAAGGAAAACCCGTTCAGCGGTTCTCGAGTTTTAGCGAGACTAACGAACAGCAATTCATTTTTATATACATATATGTATATGTATGTATGTACATACTAACGTTGTCTTGCATAGCAATATTTATACCCTACACCATAAGAAGGAGTGTACAGATCTTGGACCTTGGTACTTATTAGAGCACACATAAAGTGACATTGCAGTACTGAATATATTTATAAGACTTGCTCATAACGGTAGCCCAATATTATTCTTTGTACGGTTCGACTGCTTATACATAAGTTGAGAGTTTCTACCACACTCGTAGCTGATTTATCCGGATATTTTTTTGAATTTTCTAACTATTCTTGAATCGTCTTTCGATGTTGTGGCGCTTGGACGGTCACTGTATTGAACTGTTTCGAGTATTCCGGTTGTTGTAAACTTGTTTATAATGAAGCTGATGGTTGATTTCGGTAAACCATACATTTTGCAAACATCTTTTTGTTGTAATCCGTCCCGAAAATCTTTTACTTTTTTTTTACTTTAACTTTAAAAATTAATAAAAATGCCACTATTCATTTCGTAGGCAGCCACCTTCAAATTTTGTAAAATATTAAACGACTAACAAGAGCTAATTACTGCATCACATGCTCCAATATTCTTTTTGTCTTATTATTCTATGCTACGAATTGTGACGGGACATTTGCAGCTTTGTTTTCATAGCATTTGAAATAGTCCAATTTATTTTGTCGCGACCTTTTCAAGCAATTCGAGTTCATTTTGATGATAACAGTACGAAATCCAATCAATACTTAACTTTTTTGAAATATTTTTGCTGGCTAAAAACGTAACGAAGTATACATATTAATTTGAAACCAAATTACAAGTTCAGTTTTTATAATTGTGATCTCAAAGTGCAAAATACTAAAAATATAATTTCAGTTCAATATGTTTTGTCCGATACTGTATGTATGTTCGCAGGGGGGGCGAGGTTTTTGTTTCATCAACAGAAGGTACAATTTCATCGGACGTCAACAGATCATATATTGTTCGGACTCAATGGAAATATTGCATAAACTAACAATCTCTTCCCGATGTCATAAACGACAATAACATCCTCCGACAATTCGGGACAGTGATAGATAAGACCATGTTATAGCAATATTCTCTTTTTCAATAAATCCACCTAACTGTCCTTGATGTCTAAAAATTTCTCATGACTCACCAGATTTATTTCAAATGTCCATCTGAAAAAGGAAATTTAGGTCTCATAGAGTTATGATTAAAGCCAACAGAGATTACACAGTCTCTCCTGTTACACTCATGTAAATTAAAAAAGAAAACAAATAAAATGTCTCCTAAAGTGATGTTCCAAAAGCCCATCAGTGTTTTGCGGTTTGCATTAAGGTATCACATTGGACCAACGTTTAAAACTAAGCGATTTTATATCACCAGTCCTGAGATTTGACGATGTAAATGCTGTTATTCCCAGTAAAGTCGACTGGGATCGAAGTAATCCTCCTCTGGACGATCTGGCTTTTTATACCGACGGATCCAGGCCAAAGCTGAAATTAGAGTAATGACTGGAGTTTTTACTGGACATTGCAATATCAGGACCTTTACCATTAAATGGGACCATGATGTTACTGATTACTGCAAACTCTGTGATAACGAGGAGGAGACGGAGACAATTGAAGATCTACTGTGTCGCTGTCCAGTTCTGGCCTGCACACGGCATCGATTTGTGGGTGTTCACTTTCCACCGTGTCTAAGCTTCTATTCAACTATGGAGCCTGCTTTAATCTACAATATCACCAGAAACCTGAAGTGGTTGGTACAGCGCAACCTGACCACGTACTATGTTTTTGTCCAAATTTCTACAACCATCGGCACTATCCCCTTTCTCCCCTACATATCTCTTCTTGGATGATCACAATGGACAGGACGGTATCCGTGTGTTGAAGTCACATTTAGCTACTGTACATCCTATTCTACACGGAAAACATGGTAAAATCTATGCCGACAAGGTTGAAAGACATCAACTGTGTCGTAGATATAAAATTTATACTCTAGCATTCCTCTGCGGAATAAATTCAATAAACAATGTAGATTATAAATGGCTAAACTAATTAAAAAATCCTCTTCATCACACTATCTTGCGCCTTCCGCTTTTTATAGTTTCTCTATTTTTCAGAGCAATAGACAAAATGTCTTCGAGTGCAATCAACTGATTGCTGAACATCCTTTAACCTAACCTAGATGAAGCCACTTACAACAACTTGAAAATCAAGTGAGCGATTCCTGAGATAAGCTCATAAAATGAGTCAATCCAATTTTTGGGTTTAATATCCACCCATGCCTTTACAGATCGCACACTCATTTCTACCCGTTTAATATTAAATTATCCAACGTTTAAATACCGCTCAAGGCTTTTACAAACAATCCAATGTCATAAAAAGTATTTAACCCAATATCAACAGTCTACATTTCATTCTGGGTTAGTGAAGAACATTTTTAATTATTTTTTTTTAATATTTATGTGACACACATTTGTTATCATCTCCAAACAAACAAAACCGCGACATACTGAACAAAAGCACCGAATGTTCAAAAAATACCTAGTATTTGTTGCCGATTGTAGATTTTGTTATGTTCTGTCTGCATATAGTATCATATGCGTCATCTATGTTACTATTTAAATAGGTGGTAAAAATTTATTTGCAACAACAGTTAATTGCAGGTGTTAAAACCATAAACAACTTTTGAGTTCTATACCGAAGGAAAAAAAAACAACATCCATTATGAAATTTGTTTGCATATTTGTTTTGATTGCCTTGATCGTGTGCAGTATCCTGGAATTTAATGAAGCATCACCACTTATAGAGGAGGAGAAAGCGACACTGTTAGCTGTTACCGATAATGAAGTTATACCGCAATGTCTTGCCAATGGTAGTAAATGTTATTCGCATGATGTTTGCTGCACAAAACGTTGTCATTATTATGCCAAGAAATGTGTCACTTAATTAAAAAGGATATTGATGAAATAAAAAATAATATTGTTCATAATGTTTAAAATTACAAAATTAAATTTCAAGAACAATTTGTTTGATACCTACACCTGACCAAAAGCTGGGTCCAAGGCCTATACGTGGTCCTTAGCTGGGGCTATGTCTTCCAAGTTCTTTGTTATTTCAAAACAAAATGTAAATGTATTTTTCATTCACCAAACACTATCTGCTCCTGATCATTTGTCGACATTAGAATTACAATTATATTGGGTTCAACAATTGATTACATTTTCATTATAACACACATTTTTATAACAAAAACCACACGATTATTCTTTTTTTTTTCATATTGCTTATTTTTTTAATGTAACACATCAATAATTTATTAAAAATATTAGTTTCGTTTTGTTTTTATTTTCTTGAAGAAAGAGTTATGCTGGTTGCTTGTTTTTTTTTTCTTTTGTAACTTTTACAATCTACCAAAAGTGAATGGAGAAGGATATATGTTGTAGTTTTTTGTATAAAAAGATGAGCATGCTATCTTAGACGCCCACATGCTACCGTCTACGTTCACCCTTAACAGTTTTTCTCTTTTCCTTTTTCTCTTCACGTGTTTGTTTTTGTTTTTCTCGATCTTCTTTATCTTTTTGTTTTTTGGCCGCAGCTTCAAGACGGGCCTGTTCACGTTTCTCTTTAATAAGATTCTGAACATCCTGGGCATTTGTGTTACGTTCAATGCCGGTTAAACCACCACCACCTCCACCGCCATGTTTGTCACCCTCTTCGTCGGATTGAGCAGGTTCATAGTCATCATCGGAGACTTCAGTCTATAAACAGACGAAATAAAAATAATTAATTTTGGGTTCAATTATATTAACATCTTCAAACTAATCATCAGATGGTCAAAAATTTCAATATTTATAAATCCAATATCAGGCGAATGGAATGTTCGATTTGAACCAAACTTTGCACAACTTATTACCTTTACAAAACCTAAATCAACTTTAAAGATGGGAGCCATTGGTTCACTACGTCTGGTACCTTCCCCACAAAGGGTCACAATTTTCAATATTTATAATTTTAATATCCGCGAATAGAATGTCCGATTTGAACCAAACTTTGCACAACCTATTATCTTTACCAAGCCTAGATCAAGTCCGAATATGGGGCAAATTGGTCCACTCCTTCTGGTACCTTCCCCACAAAGGCTAAAAATGTACAATATTTATAAATCCAATATCAAGAGAAAGGAATGTTCGATTTAAACCAAACATTGCACAACCTATTATCAATCCCACGGCGGCGGGTTCTACGATACCGGATTGACCCGATTTATTTCGGCCAGCGGCTGCCAACCCAGTTATATATGTTTGTATTGTTTTTTTCTGTTTTGGGAGCAACATATCCCGGAATGCTTGCTCCGGATTCTTTTGGTCCGTGCCGGGATCGAACAAAACCCCGGACCGTGGTTCTGTTCGGTTTGCCAGAATATCATTAACCACAGGTCAGTGTCGGTGAGATGTAATGGGTGCAGGGAGTGGGTGCACTTCAGGAATTGTTCCGGGTTGGCCCGGTTGCGAGATTACAGCGATAGGAATTACGTTGCCTCGTGCTGCGACAGCGCAATCCCCAGTGAGTCTTCGTCTACGTCGTCGTCTTCTTCGTCGGAGTACGGAACTCCACCGCAGTCTCCTGAACAGCAACAAAGTATGCAGCACTTAACACCGCACGTTGCTGTTCCCACCCCTGATAGTGCATCGTTTCTGCAATTTAATTGCAACGGTCTCCGTGGAAAAATAGATGAGAAAGTGGATTTCATGAATCGGAAAAATATTTTGGTCGCGGCGGTGCAGGAAACCAAGCTCAATGAAAATTGTAGCCTACAGCGTTGTGATGGTTACAACGTTCTGAGGAAGGATCGCACCAGAAGTGGAGGTGGAGGCCTAGCATTCCTTATGCACCACTCTGTTCAATACAGGCCTATCTCGCTTGAGCTTGACTCTAGTGACCCATACATGGAATGTATGGGGGTAGCAGTTAAATGTGGTACTGCCGAGGTAGAGGTGCTTAACGTGTATATACCGCTGATTAATAGCTGTGAACCGCGTTATTTGCCCAACATTAGTTTTCTATTGGAGGGTAATAGGTAATAATCAGAGGGGAACAGTGCTGGCAGAGCAAATTGATAGCTCCACGTTCTGCACGGTAAATGAGGATGCTCCCACCAGAATAAGGGGAGAGTGTCACAGTTCGCCAGATATAACCATTGTTTCACCGGGTCTGATAAATGACGTCAGCTGGCAGCCCGTCATTTCTCTTGGATCAGACCATCTCCCCATTATCGTCTCCATCAGCAGACCGCCCGATTTCGTCATCTCTGAACGCCGCACTTTCCTTAACCATAGGAAAGCCAACTGGCAAGGATTCAGAGAGTTCACCAACCAGCGCTTCAGAGAACTTTCCATTCCTTCTGATGTACGGGTAGCAGAAAGGAAATTCCGAGGCATCATCACTGCTGCAGCTGCTAGATTTATACCTGCTGGTCGAATACCCGAGATGAGACCCAATTTCCCAGCAGAAGCAGTTGGTCTGGCAAACGAGCGTGATGAGCTCCGTCGATCTAACCCAGCAGATCCCAGGGTCAGGGAACTTACGTTGGAGGTCAGCAGATTAGTCGCGGAGCACAAGCGGAATAAATGGTTGGAGCACCTGAAGAGTTGCAACATTGGTGCCGGAGTAAGTAAACTGTGGGCAACGGTTAAGTCGCTCTCGAACCCTGGAAAGAAGGATGATAGGACCTCAGTCACATTTAACGAAACTGTGACTGATCCGAAGAGATGCGCATGTCATTTTAACCGACAGTTTGTCGAGCATCCCGAGACCGAAAGGGCGATGAGAAGAGTACTTCGTCGTATAAGATCTCTTCCAGCCGAGGAGGTACCACCACAGTTTACGATGGGTGATGTTACATGTGTCATCCGTAACGCGAAGTCATCTAAAGCGTTGGGCCCAGATGGAATATCTATGTGTATGCTGAAGCAGCTGGAGCACCTGCCCTCTCCTCTGGTACCACCTCCAAAAAGGGTCAATATTGTATTTGTATTTGTGTAACTCCGAAGACCTCAGAAAACCATAGCGTGAGGGAATACATCTGTTGGCAACACCGACTGACACTTTTACTTGTTTTGGACTACAAATTGTCGAGCACACCGAGAGTGGCAGGACGAAGAGTAGAGCACTGTTATATTACATCTCTTTCCGACATGCGGTACCTGTCAGTTCACGATGGGCGATATTGCAAGTGGCACTAAGTCATCCAAATCGTTGATACCTGACGGAATATCTATGTTAATACTGAAGCAACTGGATGAGTCGTGAATCAAGTACCTGAACAAAGATCTCAATATGTCGAATGAGACCCACACCATTCCCCAAGCCTGGACAATGGGCAAAGTAGTCCCGTTACTGAATCCACACAAGTATGCCAGATAAGGTTAATCGTACAGACCTATTTCACTTTTGTTGCCGGTAGCGAAGATTATTGATGAATTATTCTGTCACAGTATTAGGAAAATATATTAAGTAGCGGATTATCAACGTGAGTTCCATAACGAGTGTGAGAATGTCACTGAATGTGTAAATCGAGGGACATTCCGGGTTCAAACACAGAAAGCTTTGGTCAGCAATTTGGTGGCAGTGTAGCCCACGAGTACTAGAACTCCGTATATAGAGGTATACAGATTTGCCAAATTGCTATATTGAGAACTGCAGTACATCAATGAAACTTCCACATGTGTAGACCAATATTTTCCATTACATTACCAAAATAATACGCCTTCGTGAATATAGTCCTCAAAGACCTCTCCCACCCATGGGAGTTCAGAAAAAAACGTTCTTTCTTTACCTCGTTAGGTGTGACAAGAACTGTGTAGTGATTTCTCTCCATGTCCTAATATAGGTATGGTTTCTGAACTAGAGCGATATCTGCTTTACTGCAGGATAGAGTGAGGGAGGAGTAGCTCTGCAACCTTTGTCTTACAATAGTGTAGATTTATCTACACTATTTTCAGACCTCGCTGCATTCAGTTGCTTTTGCGACGGAGGCAGGCCCGAAAAAATCTGTCCCATTCCATACTAAAAACCGCCTCGGTTCCTCCTCAAATATTCCTCCCCTGCTCTATTTGTGCCATATTTAACGAACAGATCCCTGTTTTTCCCAATGTTATTAAGCTTGCGCCAGATTCCCAATTGAAGACCGAGGTTCTGCTTCTCGACCAACCTCTGCATTCTGCTGATCCAGGTCCAAAAGAGGAGGGGAACCACACAGAGGTCACCATTCCTCACGGGATGTCATCAATCGTAACGGCCGCAAGAAAACTACCCTCCCAAAGGGGTTCAAGGCCATAACCTGCCTTAATAAGGAATTCAGCGGTCTCCTTATTACCGCAGTTAATGACCTTGGCACCCTTGTAGAATGCAATCTTACTAAACAATAGGGGCTAATGTATGGTCCACTAAAATTACGGCTACTATAAGTTTATGTTTTGTTTATGATTTTATCGGAGTTGCCCATTTGCGGGATTGTTCCAAAAGAAGTGGGAAGTTAAGTTTGGTAAAAGTATTACGAAGTGCAATCAATTCGCTTCATATGCAATTCATAAGTTTTTAATGTTTACGGAAGTTGCCCATCTTTGGATGTGATCTATGTTAAAATACTATGATGTGACATTTTTGGATAAAATCGATTTTGTAAAATTAGATTTTTAAAATTTGAACACTTTGTATGGGAGAAACTAGAAGGAGTAAACCCATAGGTTAAGTAAACATATGAGGTTGTGCAAAGTTTGGGCAAATCGGATACTTCGTTCGCATGATATTTAAAATATATATTAGGGTCACCGACACATGGAATCTAAAACAAATATGTGGATAAGGCACATTACAACTGTTTTACATCCTTCAATCATAAAGTAAAGTTACAGATATGACGATTTTATCCGAACATAATTACAATTTTAGAAACAGGCTTAGTTTAAGACTCAATACAAGGCCTTGATTCAGAGAAAATTAAACTTCGAGAAAATCAAGCATTGTCTCTAACTTCGAAAATAGGTCACTCCTCCCCAAAGACGTCCTGTTAATTCATCAGATTTCCAACTCGTTACTTTTTACTTAAAATATAGAGTGATCATTAAATTCTAATTAATATTACCTGTGAATATTGTGCCAAAATTTGTTCACGTATTCTTTTCTCCTCCTCAGTATATTGTCTCTCCTTTACCACAGCTTGAACTTTGGTTGATTCCAACAATTTTACCAACTGCTCATCAACATCAATTTTAGGTGCCTTATTTTTCTCGTCATCTTTGCTATTGGAGCAGGCTTTCCATTTATCCAGAATTGTTTCGATCAGTTCTGAAATGTTATCAGTCTGTAAGGAAAAGTAAATGAACAAACATTACTACCAGTTTCCACTCAACTCCCATGGATCTTCAACACCCTTACCAATATTTCACCTAAAATACCCTCCAAGGCTTCCTTCTTTTCATCCAGACTATCTTCGTCTTCCAGTATGCCCGTAATATAGCTACCAAATACAGATTCATCTGTATTCAGTTCCTTTAGTTTTTGATTTAGCCATGTGGCGAATTCGGTGGTAGCGGCCATTGGTTTGGATTCCTTTGGAGGATGATAATTAATACTATTTGGAATACAACAAGTGGTGTGTAGTTGTATATAATTTCAAAATAGATAAATAATTTAATTGATATCTTCTTTGTTTGTGTGCGTTTTTTCTCTTTCTTTCAGAATGTTGCAATTCCTTAAGAAATGTTTCTATTTTTGGGTATTTTCGGTCTTTTTTGTGACACTTCACTGAAAATTGTTTTGACATTTCACAAATGTCAAAGTGCTGACGAGAACAGCTGATTTGATAAATTCTATTGAGAGTGAGGGTTCTGGTAAAATGTAGTGTATGAAAAATTTTGTAGGTAGCGCTAAGTTATAATTTTTTTAAATAAATAGTGTTGGTAAGCGTTAAAATTAAAGACATTTTAACCCATAAATGAGCAACCTAATATACCGAACTGTAATTCAAAAATATGTAATAAAATCTTAAAAAAGGTTTCGACAGTACGGCAGTATAGTGAGTGCGGGCCATTACAACATTTTCTAATTCGATTTTACTGGTATCAAACTATCTCTTCAAATATAATAGGGTCGGGTAAGAAAATGGTGTGGTATTGAAAAGATTGTGGACTCACACCATCGTAAATATTGAATTCTGAATCTAAATCTTAAAAATACGATTTTCCCACGGGTATGAAATTTTGCTCAGACATTGCTATTACAAATGGGATATATCACGTTTTGGTACAATTTCAATTAATATTTTCTGTATTTTTAGGATTTCAGACGAATTTTTCAACTGTAGTTTGATATTCTCGGCATTGGAGGCTGATATACACATATGAAGCATAGCCCTCATATAAAGGCCCAGATATCTTGAATATAGGTTTTTAAATTCATATACACATTGAAAAGAAATGACTGTAATATGTTACTCCGGGAACTTGGTGTATATTTATATTTTGAAATAGCCCTCACATAAAGTTCTCACATATTTTTAGAATTTTGAAGATTATAGCCGTCTTTTCCACATGAAAAAAAACTGCAATTTATCATTACGAGTCCTTGGAGGTTAAAAGCCATATTCGAAGAACATTTGGGTCGTACCTATATGCATGCGTACGAATTTATTCACCTCAAAAGTTAAATATAAGTATTTTCTATGAATGTTATCAAATACGCTTTGCCTATCAAAATATAAAGTTAAAAAATTTCAACATTGACAATGCAGATTTTGAATTTTTTGTTTTTTTGAAATTTGAATTTCAGCCATTAAAAATTTGTGTTTCTATAAGAGTAAACATTTTTCGATCAATTAAATAAATGTTTTCACAGATGCACTTGAATAATACGGACGTCTAACAAACCCTATAAAGGTGAGAAGGGGAGTATTTTTGTACGGAGCGCAATAAATTAGGTACGACCCTTTAAGATATAAGTACAAGCATGGTATAATTATTACTAGGTAGGGCACAATTACAATATTTTCTAAATGTTTTCTAAAGGTGGCTTGTTCCATCAAATCAAAATACATATTTTGTGTATGTGTGTGTATTGTTTTGAATACTATGTCAAATAAATTAAATAAAATTCAAAATAAATTGAAATATATTCAAATTCAATTGAAATGAAAAATACTTTTTTAACACGTTCGTCTGGAAGAAATTACTTTGTTAGGGATGAAACAAACACTTGATGGTATTCCCTACTGGATATTGGAAAGAAATCATAACCTTTCATTAATTTTTCGCGTTTTTAGTTTTGTGTTGAAAATGTCAAATAAACACAAACACTTGTTGAGTATATTTATTTTATTTTTGACAGATGAAGCTACACGTGCATAGTTGCTTTTTTGTTATTCACTTCAAGCTGCCCTACCTTGTATTATTGTACCATGAGTACAAGCATTGACATAGTCCCCATTTAACAGTACCTTCCTATTTTCTGTATTTGGTATATTTAAGGGAACCCCCCCCCCCATTCTCGATTTTTTATTTTTAAGATTTTAAATGGGCTGGTAAATGAATACCAATGCTTGCTAAGGTTTGTAACTTGGCACATATGTATTTGAAGATTTAAAAAGGAAGAAAAATAATTTACCAAAATTTGTTGTTGTTTTTTGGGTTCAAAGAAAAGTCCATATTTTCGATGGCGGGCATGATAACTCCTCACTGGAACATCGGAATCCGAAAATTCCAACTGTTTTAGAAAGATGACATGTCTGGCTCTCGTATGAACTAGGATTATTGACTTCGCACAACAATTAACAAAATGGCGGAACTTTGAAAAAAATTTTATGGGAAATCGCCTCTTTTTTACCACAAACTAAGTTAAAAAATAAGGAAGATCTTCACCGATTAGCTTTATCCTAGTTCATACGAGAGCTACACACTCCCAGAGAAACGTGTCAAAATTTGAAACCGATTGGATTATTAGTTTTTGAGTTATCGTGCCCGCCATTCGTTTTGAGAAAAACGCGTTTAAAGTTTGAGAAGCCCTTTAGCCGTCACTTGATGCTAACACAATAAATCGGCTATATCTTTAAGAGTTCTTGAGATTTTCACTTGAAATTTTGTAGAGACATTCTAGAATTAGAGTAGATTCGAATTAAATCAAAAAAAATTTTGACACCGAGAATGGGGGGGTCCCCTTAAGTCGAATTTTAAAATTGAAGTGAATGAAGGTTTAAGAACATATTTACTGAGGAGAGTTCCATGCATTGACATAATTCCCATATTTATTATTTTGGTGATTTTAGGTGCATTTTCAGGTCGAAAGAATTTTTGATTCTGTGTAAATGTTCAGTGTTCTCAGTGTAAAATATATACAAATCCTCCCAAGGGTCCCAAGACATTATTGGTATTCTGAGTGTGCACTTCATGGTCGTTGGTATAAAATTTCGATCAGTATGAACATAACGTTTTTACTTGTTTCTAGTTCCATTTACAAAACATTTAACTTTTTCGTTACATCATTGATTTTTATACCCTTCATCACATTGTGCATATATTTGAAACAGGCAAAAGGAAATGAGGTAGACCCATGATTTCTTTTAAGAATATGCATAGCAATTATGATCTGATTTGGATGAAATCACTTGTTTGGCCCAAGGACGATCTCTATTGCAATAGGAGAAAATCGGTTCAGATTTAGATATAGCTCCCATATATATTTTCCATATAGTAGTGTTGGCTGTTTATTTGGGATACCATTTTATTTTGTTTTTGCAAAATAGTCAGGCTGAATCCCAGTTTGTTGTTTTTATAAAAAACAACTATTTATTAGTGGGGAATGTATGGCATTGTTTGCCGACGGGTAAGGCAGGGAAGACTATAGTTTCGGATCACGCCACTGATCCTCATCAGTTCCCTTAGTTTTTTGTTGGGATATTCTCCCCAGAAGCTATTGCTTCTATACAAAAAACCTTTCATACCCAAATGTCTCTTGTAACAAAGCGAAGTACTTAGCTGAACAACGACATAAACTGCATGAGAATTTCGCTGGAGCCTCACTTCGAGGTTAATAAATAGTTTTTTTTTTATAAAAACAACAAACTGGGATTCAGCCTGACTATTTTGCAAAAATATTTTCCATATATATGGGAGCTATATATAACGGTACCCCAATTTTCGGTATTTTTATATAAATATACTATATATTTTCGTATATATTATATATTTTCGTCCGATTTTATGTAAATTTTGCATCAAGGTCCCTATATATCTTTCGATTTGCACGAATTTTGGCACAGCGTACTGAAATAAGTCTAGAATGATGTGTGCTAAGTTTCGTGTGTGCTAAGTTTCGTTCAGATTTAGATATAGCTCCCATATATATTTTTGTCCGATTTTATGTAAATGCTGCATTAAAGTCCATGCCAAAACTTTGTTGAGGAAAAATTCTAGATTTTGTTGAAAAAAAAAAATGCTAGAAAATGCTAAATAATTTAAAAAAGTGTTAAAATTTTCTAGAAAAAAATTGTTAATATTTAATAATGAAATATTAATCAGAAACCCCATTTATTCTTAACGGCTATTCGTTGTCGATTTAGGCATGTCCGCCGCATTGAGGTCGCAATATTGAAGACAGAGCTTTGAATTTTGCACATACGTTGGTACTACTTCTATGAGATTTGATATTGGAAATGGAATATATCGGTCCTTTTTGGGTACACCATACCCCAATATTTTTTTAAGCTTTTAGGCACATTTTTATATTCTCCACCATAGTATGGAGGGTATATTAAATTTGTTTTTCCGTTTGTAACTCATCGGAATAATCATTTCCCACCCTATAAAGTATATATATATTCTTGATCACCGTAAAATTCTATGACGATATAGCCATGTCCGTCTGAGGACAATTTGGTACATTGAGTTATTATTGGGTAGCAAATATCTCCACTAAAAATTGTAAATAGGAGTTCATATTTTCGGATAGCCCCCATATAAGGGTACCCCCAATTTTGCGGCATTTTAGGGGGTTTGATCGCATTTTCCGACCGAATTCGCTGGAATTCGGTACTTTGAGTTCTTATTTGGTAGAAAATTTTTATATTAAAAATTATAAATATAGGTCATTTTTTTCGGGTAGCCCCCGTGTAAGGGTACCCCCCAATTTTCGGTATTTTAAGGTTCATGAGCGCGGTTTTCAACCGAATTCGCTGAAATTTGGTACATTGAGTTCTTATTGGGTACCAAATTTCCTCACTTAAAATTATAAATATAGGTCCACTTTTTCTGGTTGCCCCCATATAAGGGTACCTCCCAATGTCCAGTATTTTGGTGGTTTTGACCGAATTGGCTGTAATGTAGTAATTTGAGTTCTTATTTGGTAGCAAATCTCTCCACAAAAAAATTATAAATATGAGTCAATTTTTTCGGGTAACCCCCATATAAGTATACTCCCAATTTTCGATATTTTGAGGTTCTTGAGTGCGTTTTCAACCAAATTCGCTGAAATTTGGTATTTTGTAGTCGTATATAATATTCACCCTTTTTTAGGGGTAGTCCCCATATAACCGTCCCGGCCGAACTTAACGCTTTTTCAC